AAATACATTTTTCTTTATTGCCTTTTTGTCGTTGTTGTCTTTTTTTGGGGTTTTTGTTGGTTTTTTTTTTTTTTCCTCCTTTTCCCCACCCGCCCCCCCTCCCTTGCCTTGTATGAGTGAGGAGGCCGCAGCACCGCCCCGCCCCCACCCGCCCCACAGCACCCCTCCCCCCCCCCCCAACCCTAGGGGGGGGGGGGGGGGGGGCAAAAGGGGGAAAAAAAAAAAAAAACCAACAAACACCACAAAAAAAGACAACAACGACAAAAAGGCAATAAAGAAAAATGTATTTATTTCGACGTCTGAAGGCTGCCCGTGTAACGCGGTTACACCCCCACGCATCGCCTCCCCCATCCCCGCCCCACGCGGCTCGGTGCCACGTTTGCTGGGGGGTGAAGGGGGGAGGGGGAGGGGGGGATGGGCGGGGGGCACCGCAGGGAAAAGGAACCGGGCCTGACGGAGATGGGAGATGCATTGCGATGCAGTGCGAGCTGTTGTCCCCTTATGTAAGCGCAGGTCTCCTGGAGAACGACGAATCGAGGGCGCTGAGCCCAAAGCAGAGCGTTATGGGAGCTGGTAGTTTAAAAGTCGAGCGGGGATTAAATAATGCCGGCAGATGTTGGGGATGCGGAGCTTTGGGCTGAGTGGTGTTAGGAGGTGGAGGCTGAGGAGCATCGCTGTGCCCTCTGTGTGGGAAGCGATGGATGCAGCTGGTTCAGGATGGAGAGCAACTCCACAACGTCACCAAAAGCTGTTTTTATCCTTTAGAATGGTGATAATGTTTGGTTTTTTTTTTCAACCGGAGTAGATGTGCCCGAGCATCACTAAAACACAGAATTGCAAGGTGTGAACAGCCTTTGTTGTATACTTGGGGGTGAAAGGTGAGGTCACAAAGGGTTAGTGCTGCCCAGGTTTGTTCAAGGGCTTATTTTGAGGCTGGTGAGGAGTACAGGGATCTGCAGTGATTCAGAAGTAAGGCTGCTATTAAAGTATTCCAGAGGTCCTAAAATAGTGGATTGAACCCTTATTTAATTGAGATTGAGCAAATTATCATTTACATTTACCTTAATAACTTTATAGCTGCCGTGCTTACTAATGCTTCCAGCATATAATATTAGACCTATAAGGCCATTCATTGCCTTTACAGTATGGATTATTCATCACAGATGTCAAGCAAGCTCGTTTAAAAAAAAAAAAAAAAGAAAGAAAAAAAAATTAAACTTGTGTGAACTGTGCAAAATGGTGGATTATTTTGTACGTGTTTATTCTGATTTGCAAATGGCTGCTGGCACTCACAGACAGGACGATTGTGAAAATTTCCCTAAGGGCCTCGATTGCTGCATCTGCTGAGATGACGCAACTCAAGAGTGAGCCTGCAGGGTGAGGGATGGTGCAGAGGGAGGGGCCAGGCACAGCTTCTGCTGTTTGTACAGTAAAGGCTTGCTCACAGTGATGCAGCCTGATGGATGGGATGGAACTCAGCGTGTGTACAAGAAATGTTCATGTCTCGATAGAACATCCTTCACCCAAAGTACCACGGCGTGGCTGAGTGATGTAAGAAGGCTCTAAAAGTCAGGAAGGCTCTTAGATTTTTCGGATATTTGGATTTGCATTGAAAGCAGAGCTTGCTTTCTGAGCTTTGCATTGTAGAAGCTCTTGAGACAGTCTCACAGATAATGCTATCTTATCTGATCTCAAGCTAAAAGCACTGATGCAAAATTCTAATGTAATTAAGGCTACATATCTTGTATGTAAGGAAAAGGATCTCTAGCTTGCTGGGCCAGTTGTGATCTCTTAGAGATCAAGATGGGGAAGAAAATGGGGTCTGTGGCATCCGTACGCAATAGTGAAATGGTTCCTTTCTTGAGATTGGGTCAAACATACAGCAAATACAGGAAATAAAAACTGAGAGTATTTTCACCCTCCAAACTAATGTTTCCATCCAGATACTCCAGTGATGCCTTTCTGGTGCTTCTGGCTCTGGACTTTAGGTGATGTTCTGTGCCTGGCCTGGATGTTCCTGTGTCTTGCTACCAACCAGGTTGCAGCAGGAGGAGTTCCCTTGATCTAGGTTTATTTAAGAAAACAAAATCAAAAAACACTGCCATCTAACGCTTATAAAACTTAGAATTTTCATGACTCTTAACGCTTGCTTCCCTCTGACTGTGATCCTTCTCTAGTTCCAGGGTTCCCTTCAATTGCTGTAGTAACCTGGGTCCGGGGCCTCGGTGGTGCTCCTGATGTCCCTCACCCACCCCTGAAGATCCCAGGTGGGCGAGGGAATAGTCAGAGGGATCACAATCTTTCAGCTAATTTATTTTATTCGGTGAGTATGAGTGTTGTTTAGCGGCTCTCTCTGGTTGGTGGGAGGGCTCTTTTGCCTTAAACCTTTCCATGGAAGTTAACCTGTCTCCAGAATGAACTGGCAGTAATGTTGCGATTCTTAATTCTGCAGGATAATCGGCTGAATGTGACAGAAGAACTAACATCTAATAACAGGACAAGAATTCTGAATGTCCAGTCAAGGCTTACAGATGCCAAACACATTAGTTGGAGAGCAGTGCTGAACAACAACAACCTCTATATTGAAATACCCAGTGGTGCTCTGCCTGAAGGGAGCAAGGACAGGTGGGTGCAATAAAATGCAACTTCAGTATAAATTGTCTTGAAGGTCTGCAACACTGTACTGTTCTTTTCCATTTCTCTAAAATTGGAAGTCTGGTTACTTGGTGGCACTCACGTAAGAGAGCATCAAATGGTTTAAGGTCATCCTCTGCCTGTTCTGTCAGCCAGAACCAACTAAAAGATCTGTGATGGCAAACTGGGCTCCTGGTAGCGATGGCTGCCTTTATCCACTGAAAACAAGCCTCATTCTCAGTCTGTCTCTGCAGTTCTCCCTTCAGAAATTTGGTGTAACGATGACTTAGATTTGTGCCCCATGTTTGAACCTTGGCTTGGTGTTTCTTGCTGGTGCCAGTCTTCAGCCCCTGACTTTCACTTCTGCTTACAACGAGCGAGGATGGTTTCACAGGGCCTTGCTCCTTACATCTGAGGGAAGTGCTTGCCTGTGTGCACTCAGTGCCCTGTGTTTGTCTCACAGTTTTGCAGTTCTTCTGGAGTTTGCTGAAGAACAGCTTCAAGTTGATCATGTGTTCATTTGTTTCCACAAGAACAGAGATGATAGAGGTAGGTGTGAACTCAGCATTAAAAGGCTGATGCAATACCTGAAGTTGGTTTTGATGGATACTTCAGCTTCTGTTACAGAATCACGTGATGAAATGTCTTCCTTTTTTTTTTCCTAGCTGCATTGCTCCGTACTTTCAGCTTTTTGGGCTTTGAGATTGTGAGACCAGGGCATCCCCTTGTCCCCAAGAGACCAGATGCTTGCTTCATGGCCTACACGTTTGAGAGAGACTCATCAGAAGAAGAATAGATTGCAATGTTTGCCTCTTAGAGCTTTCTTGTTGTCTATAAAGATGATTCTGTAGAAATTTTGTCAACATCTATTACAGTATATGTAACTTTGTATGAAACGTTGTGACCAACTGCTCTGGTGGTGAGATGTTGAAAATTTCAGACTCCACATCTTTTTCTGGATTTGTGCGCATGTTGTGGTTGTGCAAAAATAAATGCTCCCTCCAAATTAGCAGTATATTTCTTGAAGTTTAATATTGTGTTTGTGATACTGAAGTATTTGCTTTAATTCTAAATAAAAATTTATATTTTACTTTTTATTGCTGGTTTTAAGCTGTTTAAGACTTGCACTCTGAAGAGGTGCCTCTGCAACTGTCCCAGCTATTTCAGGTAGGGAAAGGCTTTGGATCACTTGTGGCTCGATGGGAACTCGAGGTGATGATCTGACAGGACTTGCAGTCCAGGAAAAGCCTGCTTTTATTGAAATAATTAGCAGATTATCCATTTCACTGGTAATTGTGATCCCCGGATCCCTGCTCTATCAATGTTTCATAGGATACTTGGGGCGTCTGCTGGTTACAGTCACAAGTGAAATGCTGAGAAGCACAGCTTGCACATGCCATGAGGTTCAGGTGTCTCAGAGTATCAAATGCACACTTGTAGCTCTGGAGGCTGTTAGTGCTAGCAGTGGAGTCCTGTGCTTGTGTGCACTCATGATCTAGGAAGGCTTGTGGCACTTGCTAAGCTGCTGTGACCGAATCCAGGCGGCCTCCTTAACAGGAGCTGCAGATGTGGTGAAACTGATTGGGGTTGAAGTGTGAGGAGAAGGGCTGGAGTTGAGTAATGCGTGTTTGTAGAGCCTCAGCTGTTTAATGCCTGCAGTACTCAACTGCAGGAAAAAAGTGTTTGCATTACATTAATTAAT